ACCTATAAAAGTATTAGGTAAAAGTAAAGTGTAACTTAGATTCAAAAGCAAGTTAAAGAAAATATGTCCTTAAGATTTTGTGTTGTTACTCTTGTGCCAAAACCTGAGATATAACTCACCTATTAATAAAACCATTCTTTCTTCACCTAGAAAATTACCTCATATGTCTTGTTTATTTCCCACTGGTTTAGTTCCTCTGGGTATGTCCCAGCAGGAAGTTGGATAAACTGGTCTCAAACCTGATAGAGAGGTCTGGACTGCAGGTATAGAGAGACAAACTCATTAAGGCAATTTTTAAGATGGATAAAGAACGATTTTTTTATTAAGATGTTACATGGGGAAACAACACAATATAGCAACAACATGGCTCCTCATCTTCAAATCTTGCCCTCTCACGGGGCCAAAAGAAATCTACTTAAAACTTAAATTTGACCATATTACTCTTTTGCCTTAAAATCTGATTCTGATCATCTAGAAGTTCAAGTCAAGCTCAGTTTTAGGTCTTATCCAACGCTTATATTACATTTCCAGCACCAGAAGCATGGAACAGATAGTTCCCTTCATACATCATTGCGAGTAATTGATAACTATGTTGTTTCTTACCTCATTGCCTTTAATCACGTTGTCCCTTCTCTCTGTAAAGCTCTCTCCTTTTTCTTACCACCTCCACTACTGTCACATGCTTTGCTAACAACAGCTTTTATGATTTGGCTCAGAAGTCCTTTCCCCCAGTAAGCCCTTCCTGACACCACAGGCTGGGATAGGTATCTCTACTTTGAACTCTGAAAATACCTGGTGCATATCTCCATTAGTGCTCTTTCCACATTGTATAATTACCTAAGCTTATACTTTGAGTTCCATGAAGACTCTTCAATTTTTTACTTCCAGCAAATAGCTTGGTGCCAAGCATATGGTAAGCACTCAATGGTTGAATGAGTAAATCTAATTTGTTCAATATATGTTCATCAAATACTTACTGAGTACCTACTAAATGCAAAGCCGCAGTGCTAAGGATCAAAACAGATAAAATCCTTGCCTTCATGTCTTCAAACTATAAAAAGACAATTATATTAATTTTCTATTGCTGTTGAAACAAAATACTATAAATTTAGTGGCTTAAAACAACTCAAATTTATTATGACATAGTTCTGTTGGTCAGAAGTCCAGGTAAGGTGACTAGTTCCTCTTCTGCAGGTCTCACAAGGCTGAAACCAAGGTGTCAGCAGACCTGGGCTTTCATCTGGTGGCTTTGGAGGAGAATGTACTTTTAAGGTTATTTAGCTTGTTGGCAGAATTCAGTTCCATGCAGCTTTAGGGCTGAGGTCTCTATTTCCTTATTGGCTGTCAGCCAGGAGTCTCTCTTGGCTCCTAAGACCACTGGCATTCCTTGTCAAATTGCTCCTCAGCCCCCATCTTAAATCTCTCTTTCTTCCTGCCATGTCTCTACTGCTTTTAAGGGCTCATGTGATTAGACTGGACCTACATGGATGATCCAGGATAATTTTCCTTTCTTAAAATCTGTAACCTTAACTACATCCACAAGAAGTCACTTTTGCTATGTAACGTAACATATTCACAGGCTCCAAGATTAGGGCATAAACATTTTTTAGGAGGCCATCATTTTGCCTACCATGGCAACTATTCTTAAAGAATTAGTTTTTGGCATATCCTTCACTTGGTTGATTTGAAGAAATATCTTACACAAATATGGCTAAATTTATTTTGGCTACATGAAGTTTTGTTTGAGCAATACATTAGAAGTTCTTTGAAGAAGTTATTAAGAACCAGACCTTAATAGTTAATATGAAGGAGTGACTATGGATATAGAAGAGGGAAAGATCTAAAATAGATGAGGAAATCAGTAGTAAACCTTATAAATGGAATGAGCACAGCAAGTAAATGATACAGGGGCAATGTGGATATCTCTTTTACCTAGCTGCAGAAGAACATAGGGTTGAACAAGTACTGTATTCAACATTATTTCCTTAAGGCATTAGTCTTGTATTGATACATAAGATTATCTATTTTGCACATTATTGAATTTACTTTGTTTGAAATTAAATGAAATTCTCTTTTCTCTTAAAACTTTGCCTAACATTGAAAGAATCATAAGTGCATTTTATTTTCCATTTTTAATTTATCAAACTAGTAATCTAAATAAAATTAAAATCAACTCAATAATACAGAATTTTAGAGAGTCTGCTATTTTTTGGGTATTATGCTAGATCCAGAAGATACAAATATAGTTACATTACACTTCCTGCCCGTAGGAAACTTGCAGGCATATAAACAAATAAATTTTAATACTGTACAGCAAGGGCAATAGGAGAAGCAAGCACAGGTGTAAGGAATGATTTAATCTATGAAGTAGTGAGGTAAGATTTTCCTGGTTGAAGGACAAATAAATCTTTAAGAGGACAGGGTAGAAGGGAAGCTGAGCCAACAGCATGAGTAAAGGCACTAAGTATGAAAAGGCATAGGGTGTATAGGGAAATACAGATAAGACTGGAGGGTATAGAGGGAGCAGCAAGCAGTCAAAGTAAAAGCAGGAAGGTAGGCAGGGTCAAAGCCTATCATGCCATACAGTTTGTTCCATGGAGATGAAGCTCCGGCGAAAGCTTTTTAATCAGAGAAAACATGATTGGACGTGCCTTTTCAAAAGATTACCATGGCCGCCAACAATAGACTGACTGGGTCAGAGGTTAGTTACACTGGAAAACCAGTTTAGATGAGATTGAAGAGATAGGATGAAAGCCTAAACCAAAGCTGTTGAAATGAGAATGTAGAGCAGAGGGAAGATTCAAAAGATTCTGCAGTAAGACTCATCAGACCTTATGACGAATTAAAGGTATGGTGGTGGAAAAGAGAGGGAGAAGGGCAAGTAAGGAAAAGGAGGAATGGGGAGTTTCTTGCAAATTTCTGACATGGGAGGGAAATCTGGATATTTGATAACATCTGACTAAACTAGGGAATGAAGGAACACAAGGGCAGAAGGTATGGTGAGACTCCTCTATCAAACTTTAGTTAGCGTGAGTCCTTTTCTCAACTAGCCCTCGTCCTTAGGCCCCTCTTTTAGGCCTGCCGAGTCCAGTTGCAGCAAGAATCCAGCTAAGTCAGTTTACAGAGAATATTCCACCCCTTGATACTGATCACCTCCACCTACCTTCAACAAGAATCTTAAGTCAGTTTAGCAAGAATGTCCCCTACCGTGATATCACCTCTTAGTGATTTTCCATGCACTGACCCCTCATTCTGTCTGTTGGCTATAAATCCTAGCTGTCTTTGTTGTATTAAAACTTGAGGCTGATCTCTCTGCCCTATGGCAATAGTCTTGACACCTATTGTGATAGTCCTGAATAGTCTTCCTTGTCATTTTAACAAGTGTCAGAATAATTTTTTCTTTAACAATAGAGAGAAATATCCCTCAAGAACTAAAGGTACTTCCATACTCCTCTAAGGTTTCATTTGTGCATATATCTTTTAACTGTCTTTTAGCTAAATAACTTGTCTGGCTTATGCATTGCTGGAATTATGATGGACCCAATTCAGTTTACCTGTGGCCCAAGAGCCTAGCAAGCTGGCTTCCCTCCTTAATTTTTCTTTTTCTTTTTTTTTTTTTGAGACAGAGTCTGGCTCTGTTGCCTGGACTAGAGTGCCATGACATCAGCCTAACTCACAGCAACCTCAAACTCCTGGGCTTAAGGGATCCTCCTGCCTCAGCCTCCTGAGTAGCTGGGACTACAGGCACGCACCACCACACCCAGATAATTTTTCTATTTTTAGTAGAGACACTGTCTCACTCTTGCTCAGGGTGCTCTCGAACTCCTGAGCTCAAGCTATCCTCCTGCCTTGGCCTCCCAGAGTGCTAGGATTACAGGCCTAAGCCGTCGTGCTTAGCCCCTTCCTTAATTTTTTAAAAATAATACTATCAGTCTAACATTCAGTACGTGTGGCAGCTCATACCCTTTCCTTCCTTAAGGACTTTACAGTAATCTTACAGGGGACTAAAGCATTGACACCGATAAGAAGGTGAGCCATAGGGTGGATTCTAACAGTCTTGTTAACATTTCGAGGTTGAAAACTAGTTAAGACTACTTTTCTACCTTCCATCCTGACCTCACCTTAATTGCAAGATCACTTCAAGAGAGTAAGGGTGTTGCAACAACCCAAATTTGCTGTTGTAGCATGAAAGGAATGGCATGACTGTGTTCTAATAAAACTATTTTTTAATGGATACTGAAATTTGAATGGCATATAATTGTCATATGCCCCCAAACGCATTTTTCTTCAAGCTTTGAAAAATGCGAAAACCATTCTTAGCTCATGGCTGTACAAAAACATGGGGTGGGCTGTAGTTTGCCCACCTGGTACGGATAAAATGTCAGAATTCGACCATTTGTTCTAATTTACAATAATATACATAAAAGCGCTTCGGAATGACATTTAGTCCGGGTGGCCACGCCCAGGAATGGATAATGAAGAGATGTCACCGTGAACGGTGACACCAGCGTGGTAGCGGCCGGACCATAACGCTCACCACCCTTCAGGCGGATGGTAACGCAGCTAGCAGCTCCGAGGACAAGGCCTTGAGGGATGTGGAGACGGAGACCTGCCTCTGCTGAAAGAGGATGGCAGCCTGCAAACAAGCAAGCCCCGAGCCTGCTCTGAGGTCTGGCCCACGGAGGAAACACGAGCTCCCCCGGGTCCCGAGCTCAAGCACCCGTGCCAGACCCTATCTAAACTCCCCACATTCCCAGCCACGCCTCTCCCGGCGATGGCACGCCGGTGCGCGCCCGCACGACACCCACGGGCCTTCCGCCTCGCGCTCTGTCATGCTCTATTGCGCATGCCTGGGGGGTGGGGCGGACCGGCGATTGACAGGCAGGCAGAGGCCAGAGGGAGGAGGAACCGCCCCCCGACCGGCGAGTAGACGCGAACAGGCCTGTGCGTCACTTCCGCTAGGGGCGGGACGGGGCGGGCTGAGGGGGTGACTGGCTCTGGCTGCTGCCCCTCTGTTTGTGTTGGAAGCTCAGCTGATGCAGGCCAGCCCGAGTGGACGTCAATGCCGGGAAGGAGCCAGTCTCCACTGCCGCCCAAGTGACTGCGGCCTGCATTCGGTCAGTGGCCTTGAGGACACAGGGGCGGGACGGTAGGAGGCCGGGTATTCACTCCGGAGACTTGTCCGGCCCTCTGGGTCTTCTGTCTGTTTTCTGAGGGCACTTCCAGAGTGAGAGGGTGGGGAGACGCCCGGCTTCGGAAGGTCCCAGGATCACGGCTCCAAAAAGCCACCGGGTATCGGAAGGAGCCCGCGGGTTCTGGGGCTCGTTGGTGTGCAGCGCCCTCCGCCGCCTGCGCACCCGCGGGTTTTGCGGCCCCAGAAACGCACTGTTTTGGTTTCTCTGGTCCTGCCCGGCGTCTCCTGTCCCATCCCACGACTCCTAGCCCACTTTCCCGGAATCTGTCCTGCCTTCCTCTGGACTGTAGTGTTCTCCAGCAGTTCACTGGTGACTGTCAAAACGGTTTCCCTGTTCTACATCATTCTCGACTGTTAGTGTGCACCTGGAGATTCTACTGCGCGATGTTTTTATTTATCAGCGATTTCTTTTTAACCCTACCCACGTTTGATTCTATCCCTGACTGCTGTTGCTTAAGTGGAATCAGGCGTGTGCTTTTTAAAAGGTGAAGGTGTATGAATCATTGTGTTGCAGTGCTTCCTATCCCTGTGTCATTTCTGTCATTATGCTGGGAGGAACCTGGTTTCCACGCCTAATTCGGTGATAACTTTAAAGAAAAGTGGCGACTTCTAGGAAAAACTTAGAAGAGATGTGACATAAGGGACTATCAAAATACTGTTTAAAGTACTGTTTTTATTTCCAATAACAGTTGTATACTAGTTCTGCAGTCCTAATTGTTCAGATTTCAAAAAAGACAGGTGTGTTTCAGTGTATTGAGAAAATACCGTTAAACAGTGAAATATTAACAATTTTAAAATCCGAGGATTTTTAGAAAGTATATTACTGTGAACCGAGAGCTTATGCCTTGTATGAGCAGTTGTATGAAGCCCTTTATAGCTATTTTAAATTGCTTATGCCGATTAGCTGTACTTTTAATATAAGAACATATTTTTATTTAGTAATTTTTATTTATCAAACTTTTTCTTAATGTTGATCTTGTTTTTCTATTTCTATATCAGATCTAAATTAACATCTTGTAAGCAATGCCCTTTTAATGAGTATTGTTGAGTGAAAGGGTCGGTTTCACTAGTTTGTATGTTCGCTTGTTTCAAGAACAGCTTGTACTTGGGAGTTTTTTTCCTCAGTTAAGACAGGATTTGTGCTGACGCTACATATTGCTTCACTTGTGGAACAAGTACTTGTAAAAAGGTCAAGAGTTAAAACTCCTAGCCCTAGACTCCTGTCCTGTCATTTCCTAATCTTTCTCTTCCATCCTCATGTATTTTATTCTGTTCATTATCCATTACTTTTGAACACTTTGTCCTGTATTGGTTTCAGTGCCCTGACTTTTGGGGAGTATCTTTTCTCCTATGCTTTTTTGTTTCCTAGGAGTTCTTCTCTTCCTCCTAACCTCTGGCTGGAACTTAAGGCTCTACCCATGGTTCTCTCTAAATCAGAGTTTTCATGTTTGAAACCCAAGGAATACTTTAATAGGTTTGTGAATATCCTGAAATGTCATAAAAAATATAGTGTGAATTTGCAAATAAACATTTTTCAAGGAAGAAGAGCTTTCATCAGGTTTTAGGATCCCTAAATACTCAAGTATCATTATCGTAAACTATTCTTTGATAAATCCATCCAGTCTTACAGTTTTAGCCGCCACTGTGCTGGTGAATCCAGTCTATGTACATTCCATTTGAACATCCCACCGATATTTCATCCTGTAAATCCAAAAGAAAATTCATTTTTTCTCTTATTAAATTGGCCTCTTCCCAGTTTTCTCGTATTCACGAATGGTGTTCTTCATATGTTTCTGATTTAAAACGTTACAGTTCTCTTGACATTTCTCTCTTTACCCTATTCTTAGCTGTCATGAAGTCCTGGGTTTGGTTGCTTTGTTTCTTTGCCTCTACTTTGAAAATGCTCAGAGTCGCCTTCTTCTCCATTCAAGTACTATTACCATAATTCAGATCCTTGTCACCTTTTTGTCTATATTATTGGAATAATTGACATACTCTGTAAGTTCATTCTTTCCATCCTCAGCTGGGCCTCCACTTAACAGTTCCCTTAATTCCTCTAGTTAAAACTCTATTCCTTCCCTGGTACTTGGTCCAAGCCTCTCCATTTTATTTATAGCCCCGTTGTATTTACACTACCTTTATTCTTCCTTGCTCTTTTCTCAGTAAATGATAGTACCTTTTACTTTACATTCTTCTTCCTATCTTTTTGCATTCTAACTTTTGTTTTGGCTGAATTTACTCTCAAAACACTTATCTCGCATTTACTAGTGTTGTGATTTAAGAGCAATTAAATTAAGCTCGTTGATTTTGTTGATCATCTCTCTGTTTCATAACTTTTGCTTAGCAGTTGTAGTTTCTGAAAGGTATATTAAAATCTCTCACTATGATCATGAAATTGTCTAGTCTTGTTGTAATGGTTCCCATTTTTTGGTTTTATATTCTGTATTTCAATGCCAAGTTGATAGATGTACTCATAATTAGTCATATTGGAAAGAAGCGATGCAAACTCCTTACCATAGTCTGGGGCGTTGTCCAGTTTTCTGCCTGAATCTTGGGCCCCATCTCTATCATTCTTCGTTTTCCTTACTTGTCTTCAGCCACCTTGTTCTTGCTGTTCCTGAACATGCAAAGCTCACTTTTGTCTCCAAAGCGTTGGTTGCCTTTTTCCTAAGGAGATCAGAAGTGCCATGTAGGGGCCAAGGGAAAACTTCCCCTTCAGCCTCTGAAGTTTCACTGAAAATCAACTGACAAAAGGTAGATTAATAGGAGAAATGAAATACAAATTTATTAACATGCATGGGCCCATATACTTTTTAAGAGGGCAGGGGGAAGACGGGGAATACAGGTAATTCTGTTGAGGGGCAATAAATGATTACTAATGAGAATGAATGGATGAGGAACAGATTAACTTATAAATGGTTGTCTTAGGAAATGAATGAGCCTGAGAGACAGACATCTTGTGAAAGGGTCCATTCAGGTGTGGTTACAATTCTTCATTCTTCTTTTCTATGGTAGATAATGAGGTAACAGGAAGGGGAAGGAAAAACAAATTGTTTTCTTTGGTGGGTTCTCTGTTTTTTATGTAGATAGCGGAAAAGTCTCTTCCCTCATCTGTTGATCTGTAAAGGCCTTTAAATACTCATTATATTAGGGAGCCATATTTTGGGGTGAAGTTCTCTGGGCTTCTTCAGCTAGGAGGACAGATTTACTTCTTTTCTCTCTTTCCCCCTGTATAATTCGGTATTTAAAAATAGTATGTGCACATGAAATTTAGAAGGATTTCAGTTCAAACTGTAATGTTCTGGGTATTGTATTATTAATACAATAGGTCTCTGATTCCATCTTTCTCAGTATCATCTTCTACATCTCCCTCATATAATCTCTCTAGGTCCTGAAGTAAAACTAGACTACTTGCAATTTCTGCATATGCTGTCTGTGCTTTCTTATTTGATTTCGTGTTTGCTTGTGTTTTTCACCATTATTTAGAATTCTCTCTTTTCCTTCTCATCTTTATGCATGATGAATTCCTTTTGAACTTTGTCCACTTTTAACCTCTTTTTTAAACTTCTCTTGGTATCTACTGTTCACATGGCACCTTCTATTAAAGTGCTTTAAATGTTTTGCTTTTTAAAATTACAAAATAATACCTGCTCATTGTAAATAATTCAGACAATAGAAAACTAAAAAGTAAAAATCTTTCTCATTCTCCCTTGATCCCACTCCTCAACTCACAAGAATAAATAAAAATGTGCTTATTATTTTAGAATCTGTGTGTGTGTGTGTGTATACCCACAGATTTCAACCACATATGTAGGTTTTCATTTTATTTTTTAAATGTCTACATATCTATGTATTTATTCATATGTGTATAGTACATTTAGTACTGCAATTTGCTTTTTTTTTTATTTCAGCATATTATGGGGGTACAGATGTTTAGGTTACGTATGTTGCCCTTGCCCCCCCTCCCCCACTAAGTCTGAGTTTCAAATATGTCCATCCTTCGGGTGGTGCGCATTGCACTCTTTGTGTGTGCAAATACCTGTCCCCTCCTCCCTCCTCCCCCTCCCCCTCCCCCCTGCCCAACATCCAATAGATGTTATTCTTATATGTGCATTTATGTGTTGATCAGTTAATACCAATTTGATGGTGAGTACATATGGTGCTTGTCTTTCCATTCTTGGAATACCTCACTTAGCAGAATGCGTTCCAGCTCTATCCAGGAGTATACAAGAGGTGCTATATCACCATTGTTTCTTAAAGCTGAATAGTACTCCATGGTGTACATATACCACATTTTACTAATCCACTTATGTATTGATGGACACTTGGGTTGTTTCCACATCTTTGCAATTGTGAATTGTGCTGCTATAAACATTCGGGTGCAGGTGTCTTTCTTATACAGTATCATTTAGTCTTTTGGGTAGATGCCCAGTAATGGGATTGCTGGATCGAATGGTACTTCTACTTGTATCTCTTTAAGATATCTCCATATTGCTTTCCACAGAGGTTGCACTAGTTTGCAGTCCCACCAACAGTGCATGAGTGTTTCTATCTCTCCGCATCCACGCCAACATCTATTGTTTTGGGACTTTTTGATAAAGGCCAGTCTCACTGGAGATAAGTGATATCTCATTGTGGTTTTGATTTGCATTTCCTTGATGATTAGAGATGTTGAGCATTTTTTCATATGTTTTTTGGCCATTATTCTGTCTTCTTTTGAAAAGTTTCTGTTCATGTCCTTTGCCCACTTTTTGATAGGGTCGTTTGATTTTTTCTTGTTGATTTTCCCGACTTCTAAGTAGATTCTGGTTATCAGCCCTTTATGGGATTTGTAGCATGCAAAAATTTTCTCCCATTCTGTAGGTTGTCTGTTTGCTCTTGTGACGGTTTCTTTGGCTGTGCAGAAGCTTTTTAATTTGATCA